ATCTAGTCAGAGAATGTTAATGAATCATTTACTTTCTCTAATTTAGCCAGTGTTTTTGATTAATGCGGCTGTTGGCATGTCAAAATAAATATTTTTCTAACTGGATTTTTTTAAAATTTTATTCCAATTGGCGTTCTACAACACTGGATATATAAATCAAATACAACACTGATAATATGCAGCAGACGTGTTCTCTTCCAACATTTGTCTCGTTTTCGTGGTTCGTGTTTAAGTAGTTCGTGTTGCTTCAAGTTTTGTTAATATTTTTTATTTTAAATATTATAAAGGGTAGTGAGAAATCTTAAAAGAAAGTAGGGTTTTATTACTAAAGCCACAACGAATAAATTTGTTCCATTGAGCTTAGGTTCCGGGACAACGACGAACATTAAGTACACAAACAAAAATGAATATCCCCAACGAATACATTTCGAAAACGGAGGATGTGGCGGATCAGGTAAATTGGTACAAAGCTTGAACTTCCAAACTTTGGTAGGACAATCTAAGAAGCCAATATTAATGCGATTGAGAACAAAAATGTGCTATGTGAAATCTTTAGAGAAAGTTGTCATCATAACGGCTTGATTAGATATTACGGCTATCATCCTGCTATTTAGCAATAGAAAGAGATGAATGCGGCTAAATTGAGTAGCCGCACGGTAGATTATGAAAAAACTGTCAACGTCACCCATTCGTATCAGCAATATTTCGTTGTTGTTGTTTTAGCATTTTAATATTAGTTTGTCTAATGCTGCTGGTTGTTGTTGCTGCTCCTACATTATGTTTTTGATATGTAGGATGAATTGTTCCCTAGTAATGATTGTATCAATGGTGTTCCGATTAAATTCGATTTCTGCGCTATATTCAATTGGGACGTCAAGTGAATTGATAGAACATGTGGGAAAATACTTAAAAAGTAATAATTTATAAGAAAGAAGATTTAATATGCTACATTTTACTAAGCTTTGTGTTGTGTATGTGATCAGTAAAATTTTTATATATGGTATTTAAATAAGCCTAAACATAAATATTAGATTCGAGTGCCACTTGTTGCAAGATAACTAGTTAGTGGTTTTAAGAAATCTTCAGTAATACCTATTCGAAGTAATTGTTTTATGCTAATTAAAAACAAAGTGTAAAGTTCGAAGGTGTCATAATATAGATTAAAAATTTTTAATTACCGCGTTGGTGAAAATAAAAAATTTGCCCTTAGACAATATATAGCAATCTATGCGTCCATATGTATGTAACTTGCATTACAACTGTATCTAACTTTTACTTTCCGCTTCGAGCTTCCGTCTTCACACTTCTTGGAACTCAATAGATTCACTCTCTTGACCGGTTTAGTTTTTCTCTTTTTTTTTGTTATTTGTAGCTGTCTTTAACATATTTCGAAAGTTTCATACTTAAGTAATGATATGTCGGTCGCATTTAAATGCCACACATGCACTTTGATTTCATATTTACATAAGATGAGCACATATTGCTATAGTTGTATGTATTGTAGACAAAATATGAAAGAAATAACGTAATTGAAAATGTATGCATTTATACTAAAAAGTTTCAATAACACCAATATATTAACTGAAGCATGTAGTTGCATATATGTATGTAATTAGGGCTTTTTAACTATTTGAGAAAAATAAAGTAGCTTTTCAGTTATCATACCAATATTTTGTGTCAGGTTCTTTTAGTTAAGAGTGTATGATAAATTTTCAAATATTTATCTTTCACTTCAATTGGAAAACTTTTTCATTTAAAATTAATTTATATTAAATAAATAGGGCTTATTTGATAATATTTATATACATACATACATTTATAAATTGTTAGTAAATATATAATTTCTTTCTCAGTTAACTATTTAATTAAAAGAAAGACGTTCTTTAAAGTCTAGTTATATAAATACATATTGAAAATCCTCATCAATATAAACCAAAATAGAAAAATATTTAAACAAAAACTTTTAGTACACAATAAGTATTGTAAGTACATATTGTCATCAGCGTATCATCAAAAATTCTGCTATCAAATATAGTTAAGCTATAGCCAAAATAAAAATTTTGTTTCAATATGAGTTTCAATTTGTTAATATAATATGCTGTACAAAATATAATATTTTTACATATCTTAAAAGATATAACTAAGCCCTCGGCATAGTCTTAAAATTTTGTTTTCTAGTTTCGGTACTCGTCACGTCACATCTTGACCAAAAAATGTTATAATCAGATTCATATCTCTCAAGTCTTTAGGTGGAAGACTTTTGCACGTTACAAGAAATTTATTAAATGAAAAGTAATTGTTGAAGGAGACAAAAGTTTTGTTAGTGTAATTATAATGTTATTATTCTTTTAAGAATATCCGAATAGTTCTCATTTTAACTACAATCGAACAGATATTTTTAAATTCTTTCTGTAATAATCTAAAGTAAAATTCTTCAAAAAGGCACAGCAGTTTTAAAAAATTGTAATGAATATGGGGTGAAGCTCTCCAGCTGAATATAGATCTACGGCATTCCGTTATGTAACTCCGTCCGCGTTGGAAATAGTTTCGCAGGTCAAGCAAAGTATTCGATGCGGTTTTATTTATACAACAGATATAAAACAAAATATAATCGTGTTTATGTATATTAATTACTCTCTATTTTTTATGCAGGTAATTCGTCGCGGTAAAAATATCCTGCCCACAGTCGCCCGTCTGTGTTTAATAGCGACATTTTTTGAAGATGGTTTGCGCATGTATTTTCAATGGAATGAGCAACGTGAATATATGGATATTAGTTGGGGATGTGGCAAATTTTTAGCGACAGTTTTTGTGCTTGTAAATTTATTTGGACAACTAGGTGGCTGTGTAATGGTAATCGCTAGATTTAAGGTCGATATAGCTGTTGGTTTGCTTTTCTTCATTGTAGTGCTACAGGTGAGTGACCCCCACTTTTAGTTGTTAAATATTTTAATAATAATTATGTTTCAATTTATTTTTATTTCATAAACTAGACAATCGCTTACTCCATCCTTTGGGACATACAATTCTTGTTGCGCAATCTGGCACTGATTGGTGCATTACTGCTTGTTTTAGCGGAATCACGTGTGGAGGGACGCAGTCTATTTGCTGGTGTTCCCTCACTGGGTGAGAATAAACCTAAAAATGTAATGCAGCTCGCTGGTCGTATACTGCTCGCATTTATGTTTATTACATTAATTCGTTTCGAAATGAGCTTCCTTCAGGTACTTTAAATGCTTAAGATGTTATACAATATAAAACAAGTACGGTCTTTTAAAATATTTTCAGATTTTATTAGATATCGTCGGTTCGATTTTAATGGTTCTGGTAACAATAGGATATAAAACAAAATTGTCTGCACTCATCCTCGTAGCATTATTGACTGTACTCAATTTGTACCATAACGCGTGGTGGACCATTCCTTCTTATAAACCACTTAGAGATTTTCTGAAATATGACTTTTTCCAGGTAATGTGTTAGATAATATATTAATATATTAAAATTATTTAGCAGTAGGGTTTGTTATGTGTAGAACGATGTGTATACAATATTAGTGTTTACAAAATATAATGTATAAAAATGTGCACCTGTGATTTTTGTTAAATATAATTATACATGTAATAATTTCCCTAAAAGAATAACAATTATTATCTTATTTTTACAGACGCTCTCCGTCATCGGCGGTTTACTAATGATTGTGTCACTGGGTCCAGGTGGTGTATCAATGGACGAACATAAAAAGAAATGGTAGACTTGACCATGCTGGCTTAGAGCATCTCCATGCACAGGAGAGAAAATTATTAATTTTATTATTTTATATAAATGTAGTTCTTTTTGTTTCATAAATTAGACAACTTTTTATAATAACAAGCGATAAACAACAACCATAAAATGGAAGAAATTATGATAAAAGTAAATAAAAAAACACAAATGAAAACAAACAAAAAATTTAGAGAAATATGAAATCGTGGTTAATTCCACTGTGCGTTCAAAGCAATTGCTGATAGCAAACAAAAGTACTTTTCATGTTCACAGTAATGTCTTTTACATGTGTTAAGTAAACGATGTAATAAAATATGTATATGATCGACGTTAGCTCCAAAAAAATTTTCAGGTTGTGCTTTTGCTCTCATAATTTATTTTTATACAACACACGGTACATAAATATACTATATCAGATACGACGAAATGCCACATGAATGAGCTAATTTTTAAGTACACATTCTGTTTTAGTTCTTCCAAAAACCTTTTAGATTTTAAAATTGAACTACAACAATTTTATTCCTAATTTCCGTTAATTTTTAAGAAATAAAGTCAAAAAATGAAAATAATGTTTTAAATGAGAAAGGTATTTTGTTTTCAAGAAAATTTAAACTGCTGATTCTTTGCAAGTGTTTCAGAAGCGCAAAGATACTTATAACAAGAAAGAAGTAAACTTCAGCTGCATTAAAGTGTATAAAAAATATTTATTTTAATTTTGATCTATTAATTTTTAGGATAGGGTGCGTTCGAGAGTAGCTGTACTGCTGCAATTATTAGGTAGCTCGAACGCATCCATAGCTCTATAAACAATTTCTTCGGAGATCGGACCCGCTGTCTTGTACAATAATCTATGCCAAATTTCGTGAAGATACATAGCCAAATAACGAAGTTTACTATACAAGAACTTTATTTTGATCGTTCAGTTCGTATGGCAGCTATTTGCTATAGTAGGCCGATATCGGCGAATTTGACAAATAAGCAGCTTCTTGAGTAGCACAGAACGTGTGCCAAATTTCAGATCGATATATCTGAAACGGAGTAGCTAGTTCGCGTATATACAAACAGACGAATATGGCTAAATCAACTGTTCAGGGTATAAAAAGTCCTCCGCTCTTTGGAGGCAAATTAAAACCGATATGATCCAAAGCACACAATTTAAAAATAGAAGAAAATGCACCTATCCAAATATTTCCAAATTCCACTTAATTAACGTTTTATAACTTTCAATTTCAAGAAAATTAAAGACATTCACTATAAGTTTTATTTGTTTATTACATTTTATTTCAAATTTTAACTTATGGCGAAAAATTCGCTATTTCGTTAAATACCGCATTCCGAAAACGTAAAACCAACATTTCTTTCGAAACTTTTCCATTTATTACTTCGATCGTTTTAAATTTTTTAATTCAAAGCGGCAGCACCAGAGATGATTTCAATCAACTCACGAGTGATGACAGCCTGTCTGGTACGGTTGAATGTGAGTGTGAGCTTCTCAATCATTTCACCGGCGTTCTTGGACGCGTTGTCCATGGCAGTCATACGGGAAGATTGTTCGGAACAAGCACCTTCCTTCATGGTATAGAATATCAATGAAGCTAGCGAGTATTCCAAGTAGCTCTGCACAATTTCACTGTCAAGTGAATCATAGAGTGCCAACTTCTCAGATTTCTCTACGGTTGGTGCATTGTATACAGGCAGCGTAGACAACTGATATGAAACGACTGATTTGAATTTGTTATAGACTATTTGACCTTCAGTGAAATCATAGCCGGTCTTTAATACTTCATGAGCAATTTTTGAAGCATCAAGGAAGGTGGGTGGCAGACGACCGATCTCGTTGGCAACCATCAAAATGTTCTTGCCATAGGTGCGTGACAAAATTGAACGCGACTTGTCACCAACACAGAATATCTTAGTATTGGAATCATCTTTAGCAAGTTCGTTACGGATATAACGGGCAACACCCGTATGCACCGCACCGCATAGACCACGATCAGAAGTCATAGCAACCAACAGCTTCTTTGGCTCAGCCTTATCTTCTGACTGGATTTCGGTTTTCTCAAAGAATTGTTGTGCACCAACACCATAAGGGCGAGCAGCCTTTAAATCGCGTTCAGCACGCGAATATTTGGCAGCTGACACCATCTTCATGGATTGCGTAATTTTCTGAATGTTCTTTACGGACTTCAAACGGATCGAGATGGATTTCAGAGTAGCCATGCCGCGCTGCGGCTGCGACTGTAAAGTCGCTTCAATGGCAACTGGGATCAAAATGTTAGCACGCTGCATCATCATCTTGCTAAGTTGAAGTTCCGGACCGTGCAGAATACTAAAAGTAGTATAAATTAGATTTTTATAACAATTTTTTCCGTAATTTGTGGTTATGCAAAATGAGAATTACCAAATTTTTCACGACACGAAGCAATTGACAGAAAATGGTGTTGTGAATTTCATCTTATGTAAGTTGGGATCAGTGTTGGCCAACTACCCTTAAAAAGGGAAATTTATGGGCCTTCAAGAATATCTGCGGTCTGCCATTGCAAAATGTTTCGAGTATATAAATATGTTGTGATTGTAGTACCGATTTTGGTTTAATAAAAATATTATTTTTAAATGTTCAACTATAAAAGCAGTATTATTATACCTAATTGGACTTTTCAACACTTTAATTAAGTGAATTTCTGTTAGCCGTGTTGTCATTTTTGACATTTCTCTAGAATGTTTTTGATATTGAGGTTTCTGTCTGTCTCGTTCTTATTTATTTAAAATATTATTTTTCAACGTTTAAAAAAACTATGAAAAACCCACTATTATTATTAATGGCTTTGCAACACTGAAGGATATTTTTATTTGACAGATTGTCATTTTTGACACTTGTGTAGAATTTTTTGGAAAATAAAGTTGCTGTCAATCAGTACACAAAATATAACAGTATATGTTTGTTTATTTTATAATATAATCCATATTGTAATTATAAGTCCGAATTATAAAGTATTTTTGAAATTTTGACAACTAACGCAATAAATATTAGTAATAAATGGCAGATCCACAAGATGAGCTGTGCCCACCACCTACAGAGGATGATGACTTGACATTGCCGAGAGCAAGTATTAACAAAATTATTAAAGAGCTGGTACCATCCGTACGCGTTGCGAATGAGAGTCGAGAATTGATACTTAATTGCTGCACTGAGTTTATACACCTAATTTCTTCAGAAGCTAACGATGTATGCAACAGACGTAATAAAAAGACTATTAATGCAGAGCATGTATTAGAAGCTCTTGATCGTTTGGGTTTCTGTGATTATAAACAGGAAGCAGAGGCCGTTTTGAATGATTGCAAAGAAGTTGCCGCCAAACGGCGACGTCAAAGTACACGACTTGAAAATCTTGGTATACCTGAAGAGGAACTTCTGCGGCAACAACAGGAACTATTCGCTAAAGCTCGCGAAGAGCAAGCACGTGAAGAGCAACAACAATGGATTAGCATGCAAGCGTCTTCTGTTCAACAAAATGCTGAATTATTGCATCGACAAATGAAGTCTAGCAGTAGCGGAGGTGGTTTAGAAGATGACGATGACGACGATGAAGAATACTAATCGCGTTTAAAAAGCATTAGATTTAAGAGCCTACAGCTGAGGATTATAAGTGGATTTATATCGTAAATGATACATACATAAAAGTTTTTAATGTTTAATTAAATAATAATATGTTTTACTTTGTTCTCTAATTAGATACAAATTTTGTAAAAGTATTGTGCTAGCTTGAAATTTCTATATTTTGTGGTTTTTCATATCCAGAGCTCAGCTTTTCTATTTGAGATTTTAGTACCGGTGATAAATCATCAAAGCTAGATACGTAGTCGCCAGGCTTATATTTGCCCAATAACTCAGTATGATCTTTCCAAAATTTTTCACGTATCATATCATCGTGCACGGGTACAATTAGTTGTCTATTTAAACCATCATTGTCGCTGATTTTCACCCGCTTTCTTAATAGTATAGTACCTTTGCGAAAGATGGCGGGAAGCTTGTTATAATTAATACCAAATTTAGTAAAAAGCATTTCATTTTTATCCGCAGAGAATGTACCGCGAAGCTCAGCTTCAGCTTCTTGATTGCTTAGTCCCGATTGTAATACTAAATTCCAAAAAGCAGTATTGTATAAATTATTAATATGTACGTCCGCTTGTCGCCAGCTGAGATAGTCGCGTAAGTTTTGATCTGATGGGTATAATACAACTCGGCCATCGAAGCATGGAGGATACTGTAAAGTTTTGTGATGCATCCAATGATTCCAGTTAAATACGTAGGCAGAAGTGAATAAACTGGTTACATATGTGAGAAGTTTCGCTGCTCGTCGATGGAAAACGTTAGTTTCCTTTCGGAATATAAATGAGTATTCATCACTTTGGCCATAAGCTAGTATGACATCGCGAAATTCTTCCATTACTGTTATCGCGGCGATATTCATCAAATTAAGCGCTGATTACAGAAGATATTTATGTATAAAAAAAGTTGAATAGTAAAAAATCTTTTGTATATACATATACCATTTATGTCGTTAGGTTTAGCAAATTCGTGTGCTTTAGAAAATTTATGAAATCCCTTGCCATCCAAACGTATCACAATCCAGACATTTGGTAAAATGCTGTCGTCCTGTTCGTAGTTTTTAACATATTCAAATCGACTACAGGCCATACCACCGCACGTATGTAGAACACGTTGTTGATTTATAATCTCAACTGATCTCTTTAATGTATAAAGGATTGAATATCGTAAAAGTTGCATAAGATATTTTGGTTTTTAGTTAATTTATTTTAGATATAAATTTTATTACTTATAAAAACTCTTCAAGAATATCACTGTTATTGTTTATTTATCTGTCAAGAACATGCATGCCAATAGACGAGAACGTCAAAAAAGGCTATGAGGTGTCATTGAAAAGTCAACCATCAGCTGTTAGCTGTGATCAACTTATCATAGAACGTCTGTGCCATTCGAAGTTTTTATCAATTGTTTTTATATCATGAGATTGTTTCACTATTTGAAAACAAATCAGTCTCAATTGCATAAATCGATAAAGAATATGGAAACAACTGATGGGAGAAATTATCTTGTTACACAAATTGGGATATAATGGATCAAACTATGATAAGTGAGAGTGACTGCTGCGGTAATGGCTGTGCCAATTGTGTGTTAAATGTGGGATTTCGGAAAACTTCTAATGATAATCTAGAAGGAAAACAGAACGTTATTTCGGAGTATCAAAAATTTCGACTCCTAAGGAAATATCCACATAACCCCATGGGCAGAGACGATGGTAATGGAAATTGTGATATAGTCGAAGTAATTGAGCTTCATTTTTGTGTTTCTGAGTTGCCAGACGGTGTGGGGGATTTCGCTTTGGTGATACCAGTAGGTTGTCACGTAATGATGCGTCACCGTTTACCTACTGGTTTAGTGTGCTTAAGACCCTATTCTCCTTTTTGGGTGGAAACTATGGCGATGGAATTCAAAATCCTTGTAAATCTCACCCCTAATGGTGAAATGTCTCGATTTATTAAAGATGTGAAGATTGGTGATTTTGTCGAATTTCGTGGTCCTATAGGTGCTTATGAATATTTTAGTAACACTAAAACTGAACGCAATGTTTTTATTATAACGCAAGGCGTTGCCATTGCAGCAACCATCCGCATTGTTAAAGATATCCTGGACAATGAAGAAGACTTTAGTCAGGTTTTTCAATTAGCATGTTATAAAGATATAGAACATGCTTTCTTTCGAGGGGCGTTACGAGACTTCAATAAGTATTGGAACTATAAAAGTCGCATATATCTCGCACATCAGAAATGTCCGCAAAGTATGTGTAAAACAGTTGAATGCAGTGGAGAATGTACCTGGTTTCAAAAAAAATTGTGGTATAAAGAAAAGGCTTATTTATGTCGTTTGACTGAATCTGAATTGAGTGATATATGCAAAGGAATTGTCGATAACGACATAGAATTAGTTTTTATAATTGCTGGCTCAAACAATTTCCAAGAATCTGTTACTAATATTGTCAAAAAATTAACGTTACAATCTTTAAATACCAAATTTGTTTTACTGTAGATGAAATTTAAATAATATAGAGAAATTACAAATGTAAGTCTGATTTTTTATTGAAAGTACTTAAGACCCGCTTAAAAACCAAAAACACATATATAAGAAATAAATAATTATTAGATACAAAATTTGTAAATGTTTTGTTTTTTTTTTAGTAAATACTGGTACTTGGTTTACTGGTCTTTCAGTATTTGGACCAGCGGTATGTAACACCGAACATTTAAGGAACTTATACACTCATTTGGTGCATTGATAGTACATGCTAGCTGGCAAAGCGATACCTAAAGACATCCACAGGCAGATATTAACCGTCAATGTATTAAAACCAACAACGCAAAAACTTAAACTTATTTAAAACAATGAAAGAACAAACTCTATCGATTAGTGGTATACTCGTCCTGGTTATGAGAGATATAACACAAACTGCCCTCACAGCCACAATGTACTTAATATTATATTTGGGAAACTTCAATGAAAATTCCAGGCGAAGCGGCATTTTGCGGTTTCTAAGCTATGTTAAATGTTAAGTGGCCGATATAAAATCGGCTTGCTCTTTTAGTTGAAAATCCTACTACATAAATAAACTCTTTTCAGATTTGCAAAATTAAATTATTATTCTACTTCATAAAAAAATTAAACAGCCACAAGGAAAGAAAAACGGTTTACAAAGTGTCGACTGTTGTTGGCACATCTTCATTAATTGGGTTAGCATCATCACCAGGCGAATAAAGTGCAGAATGCTCTGGCTGACCAGGAATAGCTCTGTCATTTGTATCATCATCATCATCGTGTGTATCCGAATCATCGCTATCATCGTTAGCTGGAAGCATAAAAGAAAGCTCATGTGTCCTTGATTGATTAAATAATGTATGTACATATTACCATCTTCGTCATCAGTTTCAGGCCCTGGTCTTGTTAAAACTTTACCTAGAGGCGGAATATCACTTGCCGCATTTTTTATAGATTCCTTCCAATTATCATGATCCCGCTCATAACGCAAAACATCATCTTCGCTTGGTGGAGTATTAGTTTCGAACCAAATGCGATTTGCAATTTGTGGTCGCAACGATGGAAAGAAAGGTATCATAGACATGACTAGTCTCACACGGGCTTTAAATTAATAATTAAAGCTTATGTATGAGAAAATCTTGACTAACTATGTTTACGAAAATATGATTTTTGATTTCTGTTTTTCGTAAACAAAACAAATTTTTGTTGTTACTTGTAACTAACAGAGCTGCAATTTGACCTCTGGCTGCACTTATTGGTACGACAAAAGTGTAAGTCCAGTTTCGAATAACTAAAAGTACATGTTTTCTATTTGGACATTTTTCACCTTGATATAATAATGTGAGCTTTTGAATTGCTTAAAAATATAGTGGAATTAGTCAAAATCTATGGTAAATGTGTAGTTTCCGTTCACGGATTTGTCATCTTCGCGCCAAAATAAAACGATTAAAAAATATTTATATAATTTTCGAGGCCTCCTTCGATAAGGGACTTAAATTATACAAATTTATTTATAACGGCTCCATTTTTTTTAAAGTTGACTTTATGATTGGAAGCGTATCACTTACCTCTAATGAATATATATATTATCGAGATAAAAACGATTGTAAAAATGATACTATTTATTATTCGTTAGCAAAGCAACACTTATGTACATTGGCTTCAAAATATTTCAACTGTCAGCTGGCTTTTTGAGAAATGTCATTTAGCTAAATTTATGTGCAAAGTGTTTTACAATTTTACAATATTTGTTTTACAATTGAGTTAGTTCTGGAATTCTTGGTTATACTGGATATCTGCAATGATTGAAATTACTTGCAATGATCGACTGGGCAAGAAGGTAAGCAAACGTAATTGTTGTAATTAAAAAACATATAAATTATACGGTCTCTTCCATAATAGGTGAGAGTGAAATGCAATCCCGATGACACTATTGGTGATCTAAAGAAGTTAATTGCAGCGCAGACTGGCACAAAATCTGAAAAAATAGTTTTAAAAAAGTGGTACACTATCTATAAAGACCCTATACGTCTATGCGATTGTGAGTAGTTAGAGAATAGTTGATATAAGTTATAACTTTGACAAACGCTTCTATTATTCTTTTAGATGAAATACACGATGGCATGAATTTGGAGCTGTACTATCAATAAATTAGATATCGTATACTAAAAATTGAAGTCACTGTTTTGATAAATAATTTCTTTTCTTAAGCCTATTTAATAAAATATTTGTAAAAACACTATAATCCTGTGATGTTTCCGTTTTATACTGTAGCTGCAAAAGGTAAAACTATATGAAGGATACGAAGTTTGAAATTTTATAAAGAACTTGCAATAGCAATATTTTATTCAAGCAAAATGGTTGTAACATTAAGAACTAAGAGAATTTTGCTTTTAGAATAATTATGAAGAGGTGATTGAACGAAGTTCGGCATCAACGAGAAAAAGCGTTAACTTCCGTTCCACAAAAGCTAGAACACGCTTCACAGGTATAAAAGTTTCCCTAAAATAATTTTTTTCTGATCGTTCAGTTTGTATGGCAGTTATAAGCTATAGTGATACGATATAAAAAAATTTATTCAGATATTGTATTGTATATTTCGTTTAGGTAGCTTGTCAAATAACAAATTTTTGCAAACAAGTACTTGCTTTTGATCGTTCAGCTTGTATGACAGCTATATGCTATAGTCATCTTATCTGAACAAATTGGTGATTGTGCCGTTGTCTTGATTAATTATCCATACCAAATTTCGTGAAGATATCTTGTCAAATAAAAAATTTATATGGCAGGTGTTGAACTTTTAATTGCAATAAAACAACGATGAATTATTCGATTGACATGAATTTTATTTATCCGAAAGATAATCTTGTGGCATTACATATTAAATATGATTTCTGGCTTATGACCGCCACGGCTGGCTCGGATGTAGTTCAATCTGGACGTCCAATTTTCGATGACTTTTCCAACATTTGTGGCCGTATATCGGCAATAACACGGCGAATGTTGTCTTCCAAATGGTTAAGCGTTTGTGGCTTATGCGCATAGACCAATGACTTTACATAACCCCACAGAAAGTAGTCTTGCGGTGTTAAATCACAAGATATTGGAGGCCAATTCACAGATCCAAAACGTGAAATTAGGGGGTCACTAAACGTGTCTTTCAATAAATCGATTGTGGCACGAGCTGTGTGACATGATGCGCCGTCTTGTTGGAATCACAGCTCCTGGACATCATGGTTGTTCAATTCAGTAATGAAAAAGTTAGTAATCATGGCTCTATACCGATCACCATTGACTGTAACGTTCTGGCCATCATCGTTTTTGAAGAACTACGGACCAATGATTCCACCAACCCATAAAACGGACCAAACAGTCAGTTTTTCTGAATGTAACGGTGTTTCGACATACACTTGAGGATTAGTTTCACTCCAAATGCGGCAGTTTTGTTTGTTGACGTAGCCATTCAACCAGAAGTGCGCTTCATCGCTAAAAAAAGAACGTAGTGCGCGATACATATTCCGCACAGAACCATTATTTTCGAAATAAAATTGCATTATTTACAAGCGTAGTTCAGGTGTGAGTGTATTCATGATGAATTGCCAAACCAAACTGATAATAAATCACCCGACAGCTGTTAAATCGGTCGCCATCTTGAACAGTAATGTGAACTTAAAGTTCTATACCTCGATAAAAAACACCCGTTATATGCTATATGGGGAGTCTGCAAATTTCAGATCGAAATCTTAAAAAATACAAGTTCGCGCAGACAGACGGACCGACGGATAGGGCTAAATCCACTCAGCTCGCCATTCGCATCATTTATATACACACTTTATAGACGTTTCATTTTGGGTGTGGCAAACTTAATATACGCTGTTCAGGGTATAAATATGTCATGATTTTTATTAAATATCCTGCAATAAATTTAGTATTAGGAGCTTTTTGTGAGTTGTTTTTGAATGAAATAAATGTGGACCAAATTTCAATTTCTCAAAATTCGTTGTTCTTATATTTATCAAATCTCTGAATAGTTCTAAATATATTGAACACTTACTTTTCAAATTTTGATCATCTTTTCAATACTATTGTATAAGCTTCTGTAAATTTATTTGATATCCTCGCATAATGCATTTATACTATTATTTAGTAGTTATTTATACGCTTAATTGTATTATATAATTACCGAATATTAATTGTAATGCATAATTTTACAGCTTCAAGATCAGATGCACATGCACATAACATGAAGACTCGACTGCAACTTTGATTGGATATTTATACATATGTATGTCAGCACATAATACACTACACAAAAAAACTAACTCATTTCACATTAGGGTTCACTCATTTTAAACTTTTAATTTCCTAAACAATTCATGTATTATATTTTAATAATTTTTGGTCTTTTCTCTTTCTATATAAGCCCTCTCGTAGCTTTGTACAATTGAAAGTGCTACCTTTGTGGCGGCCATTCTAAGAGGAGCTGATGCTTGTTTCCATTCCTTCACTTTTGCATACACATTGCATTAACAGAGCATATTTTTCACTTTGACTTCACACAATTATCATTTCTTACACTTTTCAAAACTTTGATTATAAAAACATTGCATTTCCACAGTATTCTTTATATTAATGCTATTTTTACCGATTTTCTCAACCACACGCGCTAGTTTCAAATCGATTACTAAGTTCTCACTTATTCGATACTTCCGCTTGTTCACTTTTCGGAAGTGAATTAACGATTTGAACAGTGTCAGAATTTCGAAATGTATACAGCATCCGCACGGAAGCGATTGTCCAGCACCGATTTACTCGTTCGTGAACTTCCGAAAAGCTGTCAAATTTAACGAATCAATTAGCGAACAGTTAGTACTCGATCTGAAGTTAGTGCGTGCGGTTGTCAAGAAAATTAGCAAAGTGAATAAATTGTATTGCTACGGCGTGGTTTAAAAATTTATTATTGTAAAAATTGTAGTGCTCGTGTGCCGAAATTTGTGTGTGTGTGTAGTGCGAAAAGTGTGATAAAGTCATCTAATTTAGAAATGCAAATTTGCAAAAGCAATGTGTAAGCGAAATATCATAAATGCGAAGCCTCCTTTCGTTCAAAATGGCCGCCCAGCGTGTGTTTCATTGTATCGCGCAGAAAAGTGCCAATTTCTAATAAGAAGTGGCAAAGTTAGTGTGAAGTAAATTAATGTGAAATTATAGTTTTGTGTGACATATAAAAAGTGGGTATTAAAAATCAGTTAAGTCCAAATAAGAAAATCTTATTTAGTTAGTAAATATATATGCAAATAAATGTATGTTGTTTTGTGTTTGGGTAAGGCCAAAAGTTGCGCTAGATGGCGCGCACATATTTCTGATGCAAGTATTTCCTCTGCAAGCTAAGCAGTCGTTATTTAAAGTTAGCCGGTGAGTTTTTCGAAATTTAAATGTTTTTACAATTATTTTGCGAATATTCAACGATTTAAATATTTTCATATAAAAATTAAATTGGCGGAGAACCAAATGAATTAATTATGCATATGTGTGTTGTTGTGAGTTTCCCTCCATCAAAGCTAAAAACCAGTTATTTATATGTTTTAGGGATTAATGAATGCGATGATGAATAAATTTAACGAAATGAAACTAAATTTAAAACAAGTAAGGAAGGGCTAAGTTCGGGTGTAATCGAACGATTCTTATTCTTGCAACTTGCAATGATCAAAGCCAGGGAAATACTTTCAGATGTTGGCAAAACTTTATATTAAAAAATGTTGCGAAAGAATTAAACATCCATTATTCGAAGAAATCGCGAATAAATTACAAGCAAATAAAAAAGGTCAACCAGAGGATCGAAATTTTGTATATTATAAATATGAAGTTTAGACAAAGGTTTAGACCAATTCCATTCATATTCCGTGGTAAACCACATAATTTTCAACAAAACTTGACAAATTGGCAAAATATTTTTGTCAGTACCCCGTACTATTCACATGTCACATACTTATGATATGCTCCCTGAGTTTCATTAAGGTATAAGTGTACCACCATCACCAATATATATGGAAAAAAGTCAGACGGATTTTCGAAATTCGTGATATTAGTTATATGGCGGCTAGGGCAAGTTTTCACCCAATTTTATCCATTTTAGGCACAAAGATACATTGTTCTTAGTAAAACACGCTCTCTCTCATTTTTATTGAGATAACTCACATATTGGTCGATAAAGGTAAAGTAAAAAGGAAATTCGAAAACTTTTGTATTAAGTATATAATGGATTTAACCCATTTTTGGTAGACGAGCATATTATTATAAGCTACGGATTCTCTCTGAGTTTCTATAATATGTCTTATAGATTGAAAAGTGAAAGAATCAGATGGAATTTGAAACTGTGTTATATGAGAAGTGGGCGTGGTAATAGTCCGATTTTCTCACTGCAAAATAACGCTACCTAATGAATTTAGTAGAAAAAACGTTAACTTCGGTTGCACCGAAGCTATAATACCCTTTATAAATACAAAAGGTTTCTTACAAGAACTTTGATCGATCAGTTTATATGGCAGCTATATGCTATAGTGACTCGATCTGAACAATTTCTTTTGCACCGCTGCTTTGGACAATAACCCATGTCAAATTTTTTGAAGATACCTCGTCAAATGAAAAAGCTTTCCATACAAGCACTTTATTCCAATCTTTCAGTTCATATGGCACCGATATACCAAATGAACAGCTTCCTGGTGAGAAAAGGACGGGTGCAAAATTTCAGATCGATATCCAAAAACTGAGGGACTAGTCTGTATGACGAACGGACGGACAGACCGACAAATATGGTTCCACTTAGCTCGTCATGCTGATCAATTAAATATATATTTTATAGGGTCTCTGACGTTTCCCTTTGGGTGTTTAAAGCTGCGTAGTAAATTCAATATACACTGTTCAGGGTATAGGTTCAGGAAAAAAATTTGTAATTGCAAACACGGGATTAAAAAGATAAATACAATTTTTAGTTCCGCAATCCTGTTTAATCTATTATTTATATTTTTTTTATTTTTTAATCTCAAATACCAAATTGAAAAAACAATTAAAAATTGTAATTGAAATCACATAATTAAGTGTGAAAAAAGGAAATTGTTTTAGAACTAAATTTAAATTTAAATTTAAATAAATAACTATTAATTTAATTATTTTAATTTTATTTTTGTATAAAAAAATTCGCACATATTAAAATATTTAATTTAAAAAAATGTTTGGTAACTTCATTGG